ATATGTAAAAGGCGATTTTTGGTCATTTAAGGGTAATGCGTAAGGAAATTGGTGAATTTTAAGAAGTTACATGAGATGCTTTTTGATTTTCAATAAAATTTTAATGAAGAGGCGATTTTTATGAATAGTTTATTTTTTTCTGGATAGAGACTACAATAGTTGTGGTTCCAGAGGTATTATAAAATTACTCACTTATGATGGTATTTTATTAAAAACGTATTTTATTTTCTCTTACAAAATACCTGTTTTCGTTTCGTGTTTAATTATAGATACCCACGTTGGGCGCCACATTCTCAAATGGTTCAATTTTTATACTCATTATTATTTATATTTTGATATGTAATGAAAATTTATTTTTATTAATATTTTATGAAAAAACGGTGTTTGTTTCCTTGTACAAGCTATATTTGTTGGTCTTTTGTCTATAGAGGCCCTCGTTGGGCGCCATATTCACAAATGATTCCAAATCTTCTTATAACAGTGAATTGTTGGTAATTCGTCTAAATAAATTAAATAAATCGTGTCTACCAATAGGTCGTTTTCTATGGCAAAATTAAAAAAAACCCTCAATGGAAAGAAAATTTGTACATTTTAAAACCTTTTTATGGCATTCTTCTCGAATTTCTGCAGAATTTTCATGCCTAAGAGATTTCTAAAAATAATATATTGTTCTTTTCAAGAAGATTGTATTAGTTGGGTTTTCTGAAGGATTATTTAATTGCTTAAACCTGTTGATACCTTATGAAAAGCTTTGCTTTATTTGGCCTTTGGTCTAGTTACTAAGATCATGTTGGGCGCCACACTCACTAGTCGTTCCCAAAATCACTTCATATTGCTTAGAAGTTTACCAACCGTCGTAGAAACCTTAAATGAAGAGAGAAATCTGAAACATCTTCTATGGCAACACCTGAAAGTACTTCAATGAGAAAGACTTTTGTTAGAAGACAACTTTATTTTTGGGTTCAAGGGAATTATCAAAATTCTTAAGAAACTTTTGTGTCGAAACTTTTCGTATGTTTTTTTATACCCTCGACCTCGAGATATACATTTTAGACCCCACAAAGTATATATATATTCTTGATCAGCGTAAAACTCTATGTCTATTTAGCGATATCAGTCCGTCTGTGGAAATCACTCTAGCTTCCGAACGAAATGAAATAGATTGATAAAATTTTACTCAAACGTTTATTATGTCTGCAGGACTTTTGGTATTGAAAATGGCCCATGTAGGTCCACGTTTTGGTATAGCCAGATCTCAACAGAGACCTCAATATCTAATTTTGGGTTTCCATCTCTATACATCTATTTAAAATACAACTTAGTACAATTCTCATATAAGAAACACCGACCCCAACAGTGGCTTCTATATCAAATTTCAGGATTTCAGCTCCCTTCCTTTACCCAAGACCAAATATAGTATCAATTAGGACTTTTTTTAGAATTATAGTACACATTTCCAAAACCATCTCTATATACTAACCACAGACACCAAAAGCGACATCTATATCACATTCCAGGATTTTAACTCTATTCCTTCCCCCAGTGCCAAATTTAGTACCATTCAGTACTTTGCGCACAATTATGGTGCGCCATTTCCAAAACCACTTCAACATATTAATTCCAGATATCAACAGAGTCCTTAATATCAAATTTCAGAACATTATCTCTATTCTTCAACCAAGACCAAATATAGTATCATTTAGTATTCACATAGTACACATTTCTAAAACCACTTCAAAATATTAATTCCACACACCAACAGTGACATCTATATCAAATTTCAGGATTTCAGCTCTATTCCTTCATCCAACGCCAAATTTTGTACCATTTATTATTTTTCGTATAATTGTAGTACACATTTCCAAAACCATTTCTATATATTAATTCCACAAAGCCAACAAAGACCACAATATTAAATTTCAGAATTTTATATCTCCAAAACCACCTCCATATGCCAAGGCAACACATAAACAGCGACCTTATTACACAATTTCAAACTTCAAGCACTTCACTCTCACGCTCTTCACCCAATACCAAATCGTACTAAATATAGTACTATTTAGAACTTTTCGTGCAACTGTCGTACACATTTCCAAAATCACCTCTTTATCACAAACCAAGTACTATACAATATTTAAAACTCCAACTTCATTCGTTCACCTCACCAAACCCGCCTCCGAAGACCTGGGCATTAAACATCCCAACCATCTACATCATATACCCTGATTATCTACCACTCGTCAGTTTGAAGTTGAAGTTTTCGATTACCTTTAAATTTTCAACATCCCGAACACTGACGTTACGTCGAACACAAAATTGTTATTTTTGGTCTTCTTTACTTGCCAACATCCGACGATCACCCACGAGAATTGTATCACAAGTCTCGAGGTCTTTCACCCTCTTGCATATGAGACTGGTAAACGTTCAATTCCAGATCATTAACTGAACAACTATACTTTGACTTCCCGAACACCTCCATCCATTCGGCCGTTTATAGTCCATATTCATCTTATCGTTGAATTATTTTCTACTCTACTCTTCTTATTTAATAGGGGTTGCTGGGTCCATATGGAGACTCTAGGTACATCCAAGTTTACCTCAGCCGATGAGAAGACAACGTTAACAGCCACAAAGATATTCTATTGAAAGATGTTATTGTCCTGTCAATAGAAGTTCTTTTTGCTTTTCTATCCCAAGATATTCTAACCCTATAATCAGAAGATATCTACGAATACCGTACTGTTTTTCTTTTAAATTGATCATCAATTAAGAATATCAGTGATGTTTTGTGAAGAAATCATATATAAGTATTTCATATATGTCCAGTCATTGATACCCACATTGGGCGCCACATTCGCAAATTGATTTGTCTAAGTATCTTCTATAAGTGTATCTTATTTATCTTCTATTTTAGTCTTCTTATAGCACTTTATTTTCCTTGGTTTAGGCATTTAGACCCACGTTGGGCGCCACATTCACAAATGGTTTCTAAACCACATTATTTTGTAGGAAAATTCACTCTCATTGTTACGTCGTTCAAACCTTAAATAAATCGTGAATTTTATGACATTTTCCATCGCAGTTTTCGTCCTTCAAGAGATCGTAAAATTCTTCTTTTTTTCTACCAGAAGGTACCATTATCCTTCTATCGGGAGACATTTTTTCTCTACGAATTCTGTGTTATTCCATTATTTGGAGGGATTATTATTGATGAATAAAAATTCTTTGTGTTATGCTCTGTTTAGTAATCTTCTATGATTATTTCATATATTCTTTCATATATTTTTGTCTCCTTATAACACCATTTTTCTCTTGGTAAAGCCATTGATACCCACGTTGGGCGCCACATTCACATATTGTTTTAAATGCACTAAATATCTTCTAGAAGTATTTCACATTTTTCTTTTTTCATTTATAGTCCTCTAAGAACTACTTTTTCCTTTGGTCTAGCCGTTGAGACCCACTTTGGGCGCCACATTCATTAATTGTTACAAATCCACCACATATCTTCATTTCACATTGGTTTTTTTAGTTTTCTAATAACATCTTGTTTCCCTTGGTATTGTGGTTGATACCCACGTTGGGCGCCACATACACAAACTGTTTCAAATCCCCTTCCTATTGCATGGAAATTCACTCTCATTGTTGTTACGTCTTTTAAACCTTAAACAAATCGTGACTTTTATGACATTTACCAAATTATAAGTTTTCGTCCTTCAAGAGATCTTAAAGGTCTTCTATAAAAAATGTAAATGCCTCCTATGAACTTTCCAACAAGGGTTGAATATTGTATATATTAATTTTCTTATATGGTAAAGTTATAAAGATATTCTATGGAAAGGTGACATTGACCTTCCAATAGAAATTATTTTTTTGGTTTCTTTTCATTGATACCCACGTTGGGCGCCACATTCACAACTTGTTTCAAACTCACTAAATATCTTCTATAAGTATTTCATATTTTTCTTCTTTTATAGTCCTCTAATAACTACTTTTCCTTTGGTCTAGCCGTTGAGACCCACGTTGGGCGCCACATTCATAAATTTTTACAAATACACCAAATATTTTCATTTCACATTGGCCTTCTAAACTAAAGCTTAAAATTATAAAAACATATTTTTTTGTTAAAACCCACGTTGAGCGCCACACACAAAAATTGTTACAAATCCCCTTCCTATTGCATGAAAATTCACTCTTATTGTTGTTACGTCGTTTGAACCTTAAATAAATCGTGACTTTTATGACATTTTCCAATTTATCATCACAGCTTATTTTTTTCCTCATTTGTGTGTCTTCTCCGTTTTTTTGTGTTTGCCCACTTTTGTTTTTTGTTTTTTTTTTTTTTTTAAGCTAAAGTAATGCCGTCGTTAGTGTTCAAAGTGGTATTAGTAGTAGCTACAATTTCCTTTAAGTTCAGCCAAAAAAGACGATAAACATATTACGTATTGGGTTAAATGACTTAACTTTGTTTTAGTTTTTTGTTTTTCTATTTTTTTGTTATTGCTGTATTTTTCGTTGTATATTGTGACCATGTTATTTGCCCTCTCATCGCATTAATGTCAGCTAAATGTCATCTTTTAATCAAAATTGCTGGCGTTTTTCAGCTTTGCTTTGCTTGGCTTTGCATTTTTATTTTTAGCTGCTACTGCTGCTCAATGAAGGGAAACAGTGTCAAATGAGCTTCGCAAATTTAATTAATTTGTTAAAAAGTTGCGTGTTTTTAAATTTTTTTATTTTTGGTTTTTGCCATTAGTGTCATATTTGGTGTAAAAAGTTCACACAAAGTTCACATTACATAATTTTTTTGACATGACACTCTCTCGCTCTTTTGATTAACCTGCAATTTTTGGAATATAAAACAATAATAATTTTTTTTTTATTTTATCTCTCTTTCTCTATTTCTTCTATCTGTTTGTCTTTCTCCTCCGATCTGTTTTTTTGTCTTTTCTAACCTTTAACTTTACATGCTTTCACAAACTAAAAACAATTTTTATGAACAGCCGCCTCTGGTGATAATCAAACCCGTAAGTAGCAGTAGCTCTGATGCTGATGAATGATGTGATGACAACGACTAGTTGTAGTTGTTAATATATATTTTTTTATTTGTTGTAGTTATTATTGTTATTTTTGTAGCTATTGGGCTTTAGTTTTTATATTTTTGTTTAATAACTTTAAATTGATAACCAAGTGTGTCAAAAAAACATTTGAACTTTCACAAGATAATGTGAAAGTTCAAAAGCGAGTGTTGTGGAATTGAAGAAGGGCCGAATATTCCCTTATAATAGAATCTAACCAACCAAACTATGAAGAGCTGCCCACAGGCCGTTTTTAAAAAATATTGAAAAAACCGTCAGGCGAAATCCCATTATTGTTGTTTTTATAAAAACAACGTTTGTTTATGAGTGGAGAACGATGGTAATGTTTACCAGGGGTAAGGCAGGGAATACCTAGGTTTCGGAAAGAGCCACCAATCCTCATCAGTTCCCTTGTTTCTTGTCTGGGATATTCTCCCCAGAAGTTATTTAAAAAAATAACTTCTATGACAAAAAACATTTTTTACCCAAGTGACGAGATCGTAAGCTCAATAGAAGAGGAACAAAAGAATTACAGAAAACTAAAATTCTTTTGGAAAATCTTCTAAATCTTACAACCGCACTTATAAACATTTACATCTTTCTCCACTTTGTTATGCTTTCGTTCAACCTGAACGAAGTAACATAACCATGTAAGTTTGTTTTGTCTGTTACAACAAAAACCCCTTCGTCGACCGTGCCTGTGTCTATTAATAGAACAGAGTTTGGCTTGCTTGTTTGGGATACCATAGTATTTTGTTGTTGCAAAATCGTCAGGCGAAATCCCATTATTGTTGTTTTTATAAAAACAACGTTTGTTTATGAGTGGAGAACGATGGTAATGTTTACCAGGGGTAAGGCAGGGAATACCTAGGTTTCGGAAAGAGCCACCAATCCTCATCAGTTCCCTTGTTTCTTGTCTGGGATATTCTCCCCAGAAGTTATTTAAAAAAATAACTTCTATGACAAAAAACATTTTTTACCCAAGTGACGAGATCGTAAGCTCAATAGAAGAGGAACAAAAGAATTACAGAAAACTAAAATTCTTTTGGAAAATCTTCTAAATCTTACAACCGCACTTATAAACATTTACATCTTTCTCCACTTTGTTATGCTTTCGTTCAACCTGAACGAAGTAACATAACCATGTAAGTTTGTTTTGTCTGTTACAACAAAAACCCCTTCGTCGACCGTGCCTGTGTCTATTAATAGAACAGAGTTTGGCTTGCTTGTTTGGGATACCATAGTATTTTGTTGTTGCAAAATCGTCAGGCGAAATCCCATTATTGTTGTTTTTATAAAAACAACGTTTGTTTATGAGTGGAGAACGATGGTAATGTTTACCAGGGGTAAGGCAGGGAATACCTAGGTTTCGGAAAGAGCCACCAATCCTCATCAGTTCCCTTGTTTCTTGTCTGGGATATTCTCCCCAGAAGTTATTTAAAAAAATAACTTCTATGACAAAAAACATTTTTTACCCAAGTGACGAGATCGTAAGCTCAATAGAAGAGGAACAAAAGAATTACAGAAAACTAAAATTCTTTTGGAAAATCTTCTAAATCTTACAACCGCACTTATAAACATTTACATCTTTCTCCACTTTGTTATGCTTTCGTTCAACCTGAACGAAGTAACATAACCATGTAAGTTTGTTTTGTCTGTTCGTTCAGGTTGAACGAAAGCATAACAAAGTGGAGAAAGATGTAAATGTTTATAAGTGCGGTTGTAAGATTTAGAAGATTTTCCAAAAGAATTTTAGTTTTCTGTAATTCTTTTGTTCCTCTTCTATTGAGCTTACGATCTCGTCACTTGGGTAAAAAATGTTTTTTGTCATAGAAGTTATTTTTTTAAATAACTTCTGGGGAGAATATCCCAGACAAGAAACAAGGGAACTGATGAGGATTGGTGGCTCTTTCCGAAACCTAGGTATTCCCTGCCTTACCCCTGGTAAACATTACCATCGTTCTCCACTCATAAACAAACGTTGTTTTTATAAAAACAACAATAATGGGATTTCGCCTGACGATTTTGCAACAACAAAATACTATGGTATCCCAAACAAGCAAGCCAAACTCTGTTCTATTAATAGACACAGGCACGGTCGACGAAGGGGTTTTTGTTGTAACAGACAAAACAAACTTACATGGTTATGTTACTTCGTTCAGGTTGAACGAAAGCATAACAAAGTGGAGAAAGATGTAAATGTTTATAAGTGCGGTTGTAAGATTTAGAAGATTTTCCAAAAGAATTTTAGTTTTCTGTAATTCTTTTGTTCCTCTTCTATTGAGCTTACGATCTCGTCACTTGGGTAAAAAATGTTTTTTGTCATAGAAGTTATTTTTTAAATAACTTCTGGGGAGAATATCCCAGACAAGAAACAAGGGAACTGATGAGGATTGGTGGCTCTTTCCGAAACCTAGGTATTCCCTGCCTTACCCCTGGTAAACATTACCATCGTTCTCCACTCATAAACAAACGTTGTTTTTATAAAAACAACAATAATGGGATTTCGCCTGACGATTTTGCAACAACAAAATACTATGGTATCCCAAACAAGCAAGCCAAACTCTGTTCTATTAATAGACACAGGCACGGTCGACGAAGGGGTTTTTGTTGTAACAGACAAAACAAACTTACATGGTTATGTTACTTCGTTCAGGTTGAACGAAAGCATAACAAAGTGGAGAAAGATGTAAATGTTTATAAGTGCGGTTGTAAGATTTAGAAGATTTTCCAAAAGAATTTTAGTTTTCTGTAATTCTTTTGTTCCTCTTCTATTGAGCTTACGATCTCGTCACTTGGGTAAAAAATGTTTTTTGTCATAGAAGTTATTTTTTTAAATAACTTCTGGGGAGAATATCCCAGACAAGAAACAAGGGAACTGATGAGGATTGGTGGCTCTTTCCGAAACCTAGGTATTCCCTGCCTTACCCCTGGTAAACATTACCATCGTTCTCCACTCATAAACAAACGTTGTTTTTATAAAAACAACAATAATGGGATTTCGCCTGACGATTTTGCAACAACAAAATACTATGGTATCCCAAACAAGCAAGCCAAACTCTGTTCAATATTGAAAAAATCAAAGTTTATGCTCTTGAAAATATTTTGAAAACATTTATATTTATGGTCGTGAAAAATATTTGAAAAATATCAAAAATATTTGAAAAAATTTTCTGGAAAATTACATTGTGCAACAACCAAAATAATAGCATGGAAAAACCAGCAGATTATGAAAGTAGTAAAAATAAAAAAAAAAAATAAAAAAATATGTGAAAAATATTCTGCAAAATTACACTATACAAGAACCTAAATAATTGCAGGGTAAATCGATCAGATTATGAAATTAGAGCTAAAATTTAAACGTACGTGTATCGGCGTTTAGAAGTTTACATTGCAAAGTAACCTAAATTCAGGGGGACAAGTTTATCAACCGCCCTCCCTTCCTCTCATCAACACATTGGTAAATTTTCGGATAAAGATTCCATGGAATCCGTTGATAATTGACGACAATCTTGCAGGAACCAAAACGAGGATTATCTTGTTTGGAAACGTAAACCATCCAGCGAGTCAACAATGGGGTATTTTCTGCAATTGTGGTAAGGGTATTATGTCTTTGTGCATTTGTTGGTAACATGAAGAAGGAAGCGAGATAGACCCATAGTTACTTTTGAGGAATTTCATAGAATGACTTTCTGAGCCAATTTATGGATGTCAGTCCGTCTGTCAGAGATAGACCCATAGTTACTTTTGAGGATTTTCATAGAATCATTTTCTGAGCCCATTTATGGATGTCAGTTCGTCTGTCCATGTATTTTTTTTAACAAAATGCAAATCGCATTTATTGTCCGATTGAGATAAAATTTTCCACAAATCATTTGCTTGGCCTAAGGACGAACCCTGTTGAAATTGGTGAGAATCGGTTGAAATTTAGATCTAGCTCCCATATATATCTTTAACCGATTTCGGATTAATTGTGCACCAAATGACCAATATCAGTCCAAATGACCTGAATTTTTGCACATCCAACCGAATTCAGTCTAGAAGGAAGTACATAAAATTTGGTGGAAATTGGTTCAGATATAGCTATAGCTCCTAAGCCTGATATGCACTTGATATTTGGTACCAGATATCAGATACAGCCCAAAAATACCTCTATCAAATTTTATTGAGATCGGATCAGACTTGGTTGTACCTCCCATATATATCTTTATCCGATATCAGATTTAGCCAAATGGCTAATTTCAGCCCAAATGAATTGAGTCTTGACATTTCAGACGGAATTCAGCCTAAAAGCAAGTGCTTCAAATTTTGGTGAAAATCGGTTTAGATGTAACCATAGCTTCTGTATTTATGTTTCATCCGATTACCCTGATATACTTAAAAAAATAATCTTTAATAAATACATTTTTATGGTCTTTAAGGTCATTGAGAAAAATTATTAAAAATCCTCGATTATAGACTTTAGGTTCCAAAAGGTCTTCTTAAAAAACGCTACCTTTATAGGCGTGAGGGTTCTTTAAAAATATTCCTAAAAATTAAATTTTTCTAAGGTCCTAACAAATATTATAAGAATCCAAATTAACGCTCTAATGATCTCTGACGAAATATTCTGAAAAATTACAGGTGTATACCGCTCCTGATAATCCTGGAACAAATATTCGTACAATATCAGCGTGTCTTGCCTTGATGGTCCTTCAAAAATACTCTTAAAAATCCCCAATTATAGCCTTGAGGGTCCTTGTAAGAACGTTCTTAAAAAAACACGATTATAGACTTGAGGGTCCCTGTAAGAATATTCTTAAAAAAATCCAGGATTACTGACGTGAGGGTCCATGCTAAATTTTTTCTTAAAAAATCTAGGTATTGAAAATGCTCGAAAAATATACCAATCAAATCCACTTTTAAGGTCCATCCACTTAAGGTCCATCGAAAACATTGAAGAAATTGTC